CAATTGTCTGAGGGATAGCAACCTGGCCCCCGGCTCAAAAAGGTTGCCGACCCCTGGTCTAGAGCTTGGAAAAGAAATATTTTAGACTACAACTTCCAGAATTTCTCAGCCAGTCAGTACGTTCCATCGTTTTTTCCCAAACTTTGCTGACAGTGCATTTTTAGCTGCAATTTTAGAGCCAAGACCTGCATCACAATATTTGGAGAAGTGCATAATTTGAAGGACATTGGGTTTCAATTTGCATAATAGCCTGAGAAGTGCAACTAAACTTGGTGGACTTAGGAAAATGGAACAAACAAAATTTCTCATCCTTCCTGCTTCATGATATTCATGTGCTCAGGGGTCTGTTTTTTGGTTTTTGTTTTTTTTTTTAATAAAAGAAGAAATTCCTGTATATTTTAACAAGTGGCTGTTTGTTGAAGGAAACTTTTTCAGTCAAAATCCTCTAACACATATTCCAGTTACACCATATTTAGTGTAATTATATACTCAGCCCTCTCTGCATCCATCCTGCTATTTTCCTCATTGTGAATACAGTGGACTATCCCAAACCTATTGTGAAGCAGATGATAGGATGAAATATAAACAGGATGGAGCCTGCTCACTTGAATTAAGCATTTGTGGACTACCCCCTGACCTTTCCCTTGTTAATGGCACGATGGTGCAGTCAGCCATGTCCCAGCGATCTAGACAGAATCATTAGTCTATTGCATTTCATAAACATGGCTGAGTATAATGTTTAAGGAACAGGAGGCCCAAACAGGTGAACTCAACCGCATAAAACAGCAGCAAGATGGAAAGTCAGAGATGCATGAAAGTGGCTTGAGAACATGTACTTTCAGATATGCGGGGGCTCACAGAAAGCTGAAAGACCTAACAATTGAGTGTGAAAATTATTTCTGCCCTCACTGCTAGGAATTCTGGCTTCTATTCACCCTGATTAGGCTCACAGTAGCTTCTGGCCCTACAACTAGTATTAGTAGAAGCATCAGAAGTAGACTTGACTGGCCAATGACAAGAGTGGCCTTTTGTCCATAATACAAGAGCCGCATCTGCCTTTGACATCACAGAAAGGTTAAATAATTCATCTGACCTGTTGAAATAAATGCTGATGGAGTGTTGAAAACAGTCCTTTAGAACCAAACATCCAAACCTGG